CTGTATTAATTTATTATTCGTAACACTTTTGTGAGGAGAAATTTTTCTTTAAATAGTATTTGGCTTCCTAGTGGCACTGTTTATACAGGAAAGTCAGGAGGCTTGCATTTTGGAAAATAAGTTCTTAGAGTGAGGAAAAATATAGAACAAAATAAAAAAAATTTAAAAAGGCCAAGCTCACTAATTCAGTAGAGAGTGGTTGCACCCCTTAGTCATCACATTTTGAACCTGTAACCAAATTCACCTGTGGTTCAGCTGTCAGCTCAACAATAGACAGACCTATAAGATGAATAGTACCACTGGGAAGACACTCATTCCTTGGAATAACCAACCAATAAATGGTCAAAAGAGCACTGTTTGTCTAAGGATAAGATTCTGAAGGCAGGAAGGTGGGAGGTAGAAGGATTAATAGAAATGAGAATTACAGGGAAGAAATAAGGGTATTGAATGTGAGTAATGTTAGAAATATGAGCAAAAACCTATGGTGATGAAGGAAGAAGTTCAAGTTTCGCTGAAGGAATTGTCAAAAAACAAGGCTCCAGGAGTTGATAGCATACCAGTTGATTTATTTCAACAAACAGACGCTGCCCTGGATGTGCTCTCCAAGTTGTGCCAAGAAGTCTGGAGAACAGCCAGCTGGCCAACTGACTGGAAAAGATTGATATTTGTTCCCATTCCAAAGAAAGGTGACCCAACAGAGTGCAGAAATTATCGAACTATATCATTGATATCACATGCAAGCAAGGTTCTGCTGAAAATGATCCAAAAACGTTTGGAACAATATGTCAACAGAGAACTGCTAGATGTGCAGGCTGGATTTAGAAGAGGTCGTGGTACTAGGGATATTATAGCTAATGTTAGATGGATCTTGGCAGAAAGCAGAGAATACCAGAAGAATGTCTGTCTGTGCTTCATTGACTATGCAAAGGCTTTTCACTGTGTGGATCACAATAAGCTATGGCTGACTCTGAAAAGAATGGGAATCCCAGAACATTTGATTGTGCTAATGCAAAACCTATACTTGGACCAAGAGCCAGTAGTCAGAACAGAGCAGGGAGACACACTGGATGGTTCAAAATCAAGAAAGGGGCCCACCAGGGATTATTTTGTCTCCATACCTTTTCAATCTGTATGCAGAACAGATCATCTAAGACGCTGGGCTGTACGAGGAGGAATGTAGCATCAGGATTGGTGAAAGAATCGTCAACAACCTGCGTTATGCGGATAACACAACCCTGCTTGCTGAAACTGAGGAGGCCCTAAAGTGCTTGCTGCAGAAGGTCAAGGACTGCAGCCTTCAATATGGATTGAAGGTCAACATCAAGAAAACAAAGATTCTCACCACTGGGCCTATTGGCAGCATCACTGTGGGTGGTGCAGAGATTGAGATAATTAACAGTTTTAGTTTACTTGGTTCCACAGTGAACATTCTTGGTGCCAGCAGCCAGGAAATCAAGAGATGAATTGCATTGGGAAAGTCAGCTGTGAGGGACCTCTCCAGAGTACTGAAGAGCAACAATGTCAGCCTGGAGACTATGGTCTTTGCAATTACGTGCTATGCATCGGAGAGTTGGAGAGTGAGTAGGGATGATAGAGAATTGATGCCCTTGAGCTGTGGTGCTGGAAAAGAGTGTTGAATATACCATGGACTGCTAGGAGAACAAACAGGTTTGTCCTGGAGAGGGTGAAGTTGGAATGCTCCTTGGAGTCAAGGATTCTGAAGCTTTGTGTGACATACTTTGGGCATGTTGCAAGGAGGGACTGGTCCTTGGAGAGGGACATCATGTTTGGGAGAGTGGAAGGACTGCACAAGAGAGGAAGACCCTCCGTGAGATGGATCAATTCTGTGAGTGGAGTGGTGGGAATGAATGTGTTTGAGATGGCGAAGTTGGCACAGGATAGAACAGCGTTTAGGGCTCTTGTGCATAGGGTTGCTGTGAGTCGCAAGCGACTCCATAGCACATGACAACAATAGTGTTAGAAAACTATATATGAGTGAGTGAATAAAATACCAGTTTGCTTTGTAAACTTTTCATTGAAATCACAGTAAAAAAAATTTGTTTAGCATTTTCCGACAATGACCAACTTAAACCTAATTCTTAATAAATGAAACATGTGTGGAGAGTTTTGATATATTATAGAAATTATGAGTGACAATGAACGTGTTGTACTTTCTTTGGCCACAAGGAGCATCTACAATTTGTGTGTTCCTTTGACACAACACTTGTGTACCATCAAGTTGGAAGCTACTTGTAGCTGATCCTCCAGTGGATTTTCTGAGGCTGTAAGTTGTAAAAGAGGAGTTTGACCATCTTTCTCCTGTGGTGCAGCCAATGTGTTTGAACTGAATGCCTTGGGGTGGCACCTTAACTCCTTACCACTAAGCCACCAGAGCTACCTTTTGACACAACACTGTAGTCTTTTGTGTTTTTGTTTTTGTATTTTTTTCTTTGTCCTGACTACAGGGTTTGTTGAGGCAGTTAACAGGTTGTAACAGGATACAACTCTTCAGTCATGACAGCTTCCCAAACATGCTTGCAAGCCATTTGAGCTTCAGTTTCAAGGCTTTAGGTCTGTGTTACAAAGCTTTTCCAGTCCTGTCCATTATGAAATTCCTCCCACTTATCCAGCCCTTTTGGATGAAGGGCCCTGCCTCTGGCTCTGGCTCAGCAGTTCAGAGTAGTGTGGTCTCATGAAGGTCTCTTTTATTATTCGCTGTAGCTACTGTGGTATCTGGGATCTGTTTCGCAGGAATCTCTGGTCTCAAAGGATGTGAGCTGCATTCTCTGCTTATTTCTTGCTCGTATCCACAATACTAGTAGTTATTTAAAACTCCTTTGCTGAGGAGCTTAGTTCTAAGAATTTAGTTGCAATATGGCCACTTTTAATGTTTGGGGTGTGTGTGGTTTTTTGTGTGTTTTTTTTTTCAAGCTTTTTGCTGCATGAAGGCCATTTTTTGCTTAGCTCCGTTTCATCGATCTTGCTCTTAGATAAACATCTCTCAACAAGCCCGAGAGAGGTATTTATCCTGAAGGAGTTTTTGTCTCATAAGATGAGATAGACAATGAAGTGCATTTTTTCAGTTAGAGAACTAGAGCATACAGGCACTAATTTAACATTAACGGGTATAAAAATGGGTTTAAATTGTTTCTGGGGAAAAACTATAAACTTGGCTTAGAATCTAAAATTCTGGTGATTAAAAAATTGTGGTCAAATAGGGATAGTTAATCCACATTCCGTTTGGACTTCTCCTGGTTTTGAATTTTATGTGCTTATTGTCTCTTAGTTGTACCTGTGGTGTACTGATCAGTACTAGGCCTTCAGGGTTTTGAAAACAAAGCGGGGTGGGGTGGGAGGGGGGCAGAAATGGACACTGCTTTTAAGAATCCATTTCACTTGAGTTTCTTGGGGAGATGACTGACACATCATTTCCTTAGGTTTAAGAACTATATTTTCTGAGAAACAACTATAGAAGTGCAGGAGACTGAAAAAATGATATGTGTGAGGTTGTTAACAATCCAATGAATAGGTTTCTCAGAAGTTTCTTAGAGAAGTAAGAGTGCCAACTTTTGTTTTGTTCTAGATTCTCATTTTTGAATTTTTGCATTTTTTAAGGTAAAAAGCAGATATGTTCCTGTTACTTTTTGGAAACTACTCACACTCATTTTGCTATTTCTAGAACTATTCCCCTGAACATATAAGCTGGATTCCTATATTGTGTTGAGGATCACTGCCGTGGGATTGTCTTATAGGTAAATATAAGTCCTTTTTTTTTTATAAACTGTAAAGGTGATTTTTAAATTTTAAAAAAAAAAAATACGCTTCTAACTGACTTTATGACTGTCACCTTCTCTATTCTTATTCAATTATTATACAGCAATATTATAATTATTAATTGTGGTTTAGTCTCTTCTTTTTCTACATTATGTGTGTAAAAGTGGTCATCAGTAACATCTCTTATTTTAAATTAGCGAGAGGCATTAATTTTTTTAACCATTTAAACTATGTTTTATTTGTATATATCTAAAGAGGCACAATAGTAAGTTGGCCTTATTAATTGTGTTTATGTTTTGGATTGTAGAAAAACCTTTTATTTGTGAGGATGAGGGACTTCTGTGCCCATTTTTATTATGTGGATGTAAGAATTTAGTTTGAGAACTAAATTCTCACATTAGAGAGGTGTTTTGGTTTTTTTTATTTCACATTAGAGAGTTTTAGGTTCACATTATTTCAGGCTTTCAGCAATCATTTAAAAGTCTAAATTGATTCATTTGTTTGCAAAATTTGGTCGTGGTAAAATGATAGGAAAGTCACAAACAGTGGCATATTTTTGATCATTAGGGGACTAAGGAGCCCTGGTAGCATAGTGTATAACATTTTGGGTTGCTAACCCAGAGGTTGGCCATTCAAGATCATCAGCTGGTCTTTGTGGGAAAGATGGGCAGTCTCCTTTAAAGATTTAGTCTCAGAAACCCCTTGGAGGGTACTGTGGGTCAGAACTGACTTGGCTTGACAGAAGTGCATTATTTGGTTTTGGGGTTTTTCTGGTTTTTGTTTTGTTTTTATTTTTTTAATACAGGGGGACTACAAACTCTGGTGGTGCAGTGATTAAAACTTGACTGCTAACCCAAAGTTGGCAGTTTGAACCCATCAGATTCCATGGGCAAAAGATGTGCAGTCTGCTTCCATAGGAATGGCAGCTTTGAGAACCATGATGTACTCTGTCCTGCCTAGTTGCTATAAGTCCAGATCTACTCAATAACAGTAGATTTATGTAGGAGACACTTTAGTCTTTAACATAGTTTGCAGAGGGATGAAAACCTATCATAGTGGTTTGTGCTATGTATGTATATGGACAGATATAAATAAAACGATCTTACTGTTTTAGGTCAACATGGTGAAGTGATAATGGTAAAATACTGGTTTTTATTTGAGTGAAGTTTTAAGAAATCATACTAGTTTTTTATGTAGTCATTCATAGACATATTGTTTTATAACAATAATTGCCATTAGTTGATATAATTAATCACAGTGTCTAATCAACCCCTTATTGTGTGTCGCCTTTTTCTTCACCCATCTTGTTTATGCTGATGGGGAAACATAGTGATGTAAAATATTTTTTTTTCAATCCAGATTTGATAAACCGTCATCTAACCTGCCCTGTATCAGAGTCGGTAGAAGGTGACTTCTCACGTTTCTTCAGGATGCCTGCAGCGCTTGTGGAGAACAGCCAGGTTATCTGTGAAGTCTGGGCCAGCAATCTAGAAGAAGAGATGAGAAAGATCCGAGAAATAGTGCTGAGTTACAGTTACATTGCCATGGTAAAGAGTTCTGCTGTATCTGACTCATTTTATGTTACAATTCTAGGAAATGAGTTTAATAAGTGATTTCCAAAAGAAATTATATTACACTAAAGTCTTTTCTAAACTAACCTTGCTTTGCTTTTATGAAATACTAGAGTAACCAGATACCATTGAAGATGTCATACTGGATCTTGGACTTTTGTAATGTTACTCTCTGTTCAAAAGTCTTTAAACCAGGAGTTACAGTAGCCCATGGGGCACATCTGCCCAAGAGATATGGTGAATATAACTCTATAGTGTTAAAATTTTTTCCTTACCAGCCTTTAATCCAGATTTCTGCATCTTTGGGGAAAAGGGAAGACTGGGCAATTTAGGGTCCACATTGCAGCCTGACACCAAATGGTTGGAGAGGGAGATGTGTCATGGTTTAACAAGGGCTTCCTTTAGATGAAACATGTATTCTAGTTTTCTCCAGTCTCCATTCCACATTTCTGTCTTCATTTCCAGCCTGCTTTACTCCTGCATTAGCAACTGTGAATGAAGTCTTTAATTGGTATTTTTCTTTGATTTTGTCCCAAGGTTTACTCAATGTGAACTTGATTTTTTCCCCTGAATTACTTTTTACTTTTCTATACTTGTATTAAAATACTATTCTCAGCCTAGAGTATTCTTAATTGCTTGTCCATCCATCTATAGTTAGTGAAACTACTTCTGTTCATATCTTGCTTAGGACCTCCAAGTTGTTGTACTGAGCTTCTTGACTCTAGTGCTTCTTTTGTAAATAGCAATGAGATCAGCATTTTAAAATAGATTTTTTTTTGCCTAAGCTTAGGGGTAAACTTTTATAAATTGAGGTAAAAATTTTATTTACAAATTATCGATTTTAGCAACCATTCTATGAAACCTTAGAGTGAAAGGAGTTTTCATTTTCCAGGATACAGAGTTTCCAGGTGTTGTTGTGCGACCAATTGGTGAATTTCGTAGTTCTATAGATTACCAGTATCAACTTCTTCGGTGCAATGTTGACCTTTTAAAAATTATCCAGCTGGGCCTTACATTCACAAATGAGAAGGGAGAATATCCTTCTGGAATCAACACATGGCAGTTCAACTTCAAATTCAATCTTACGTAAGTTTCTGAGACATTACTTATTCAACCTTACGTAAGTTTCTGGGACGTTCCTTAGTTATTTTTACATCTGCTGCATTTGTATAGATTCTATATTCTTACTGGTTTGATTAATTTTAAGTTTTGTTTCCCCTGACCACCAGGGCAGAGCAGTCAAACTGCTAACTTGCTAACTCAGGATGGAATAAGGAATCTGCAGAATTTAAACAATACTTATCAACAATTAAAAGACCAACAAACCCAGTTAAAAATGGACAAAAGATCTGTGTAGACATTTCTCTGAAGGAGATAAACAACTGACATTTCCCTGATGGCTAATATTAATCATCATGGAAATATGTATCGTAGTCACAGTGAGATACCACTTCATACTGACCAGCAGAGCTTAATTAAAAAACTAACAGAAAAAAGACCGCATCATAAGTGTTGACAAGAATGTAGAGTAAATGAAACCTGTGTGCATTGCTAGTGGGAATGTAAAGTGGTGTAGTCACTTTGGAAAACATTTGGTCGTTTCCCAAAATGTTGACCATAGAGTTAGTTGCCCTGTGACCTAGAATTTTTGCCCCTGGACATGCACTCAGAGAAATTAATGGAATATATCCACTCAGAATATTATACATAATTGTTCAGAGTTGCATTATTTAAAATAACAAAAAATAGATAAAATTTAAATGTATTAAATGAAAAGGAACAAATGTAGTTTGAAAAAGAACAAATAGAGTCATAGTTATCAATAAAATGGAATTAAGTACTGATAACAGATAAATCTTGAAAACATGCCAGCTGAAAGAAGTACGTATTTTAGAACTCAGCTTACATTGTCCAAGAATGGACAAATCTGCAGAGACAGAAAGTAGTTTAGTGGTTGTTTACAGCAGGAAATGGGTGGGAAAGGTGGCGTGTTAAGAAATGACTGCTTAATATATATGGGGTTTTATTTTAGGGTAATGAAAATTTTCTAAAATTGATTGTAGTTCTGGTTATAAAGTTACAATTATACTAAACCCACTGAGTTCTGTACTTAATGGATAAATTATATATGAATTATGTCTAAACCTATTTTTAAAAAGTCTAGTGCCCAGTTGTAGTATCTAGATTTGTATTACAATTCTGTCATTTCCTAACTAGCTAATTTGGGGTCAGTTACTTCATCTGTAACTCTGTTTCCTTATCTTAGTAAAAACCAAAATTATTATGCTTAATAAAAAGGTAATATAATAGAAATGAGATTGAGAGTAGATGCCACAGGTTTTTGGCTCTGAAGCCTTTCCTATAAAGCACATTATTACATGAAATGTGGGCAGACTTCTTTAATATTGCTCTAAGTGGGCACAGGAACACATGAGAGCTCAGCAATATGTTAATTATAGTTCATTTGGTTCATAAGGTTATGGTAATATTGTTAATGTTATTTCTGTTATATTATCTACCAATTGACAAACAAATACCCTTGTTTTTCAGAGAAGACATGTACTCCCAAGATTCCATAGATCTCCTTGCTAACTCAGGACTACAGTTTCAGAAACACGAAGAGGAAGGGATTGACACATTACACTTCGCAGAGCTGCTCATGACATCGGGAGTGGTGCTCTGTGACAATGTCAAATGGCTCTCATTTCACAGGTCAGTCTCAGAGACTTTATCCTCTCCTGCTTTTTACCTCACTGCTGTAGGGAATGTAATCCCCCTTCTTTTTTGTGGACCTATTACTTTTGTTGACCAGTAGCCGCTGCTAAGTTGAAATGGTGATGATTGCTCATGTTTTGATTTCGGTACTGAATTATTTCACATATTATTGGAGTTTATTATGTAGTAGTCATGGAAAGACATCCTGTGAAAAGATAACGAACAGTGGCTGAATTGGCATCCTTTTTCTTGTTCTTTAAATGGCTGCCCTGGAATTATTCACATACCTGAAAGCCATATTTCCCACAGTGTTACTTGATTTTATCATACTTTTGAATTTTTTTCTCAGCCTTTTTTTAAAATTTATTATTAATTTCAATGAAAATTTACAGAAACTTTGGATTCCCATTCATTCATTGGTGCACTTTTCTCCCCTCCCAACCCTTCCCCCCAGTACACCACCCTCTTGGAAAAGTAAAAGAAAAGTTCTTTCATTGTTTTACAATCCCTCCCCCCAGGTCCACTCCACTATGCATCCTTTGCTATGGACCCCGTCATGACAAAAATACCTAATCACATATCCCTTTTAAACAGCTTTCTTCCTCATCTGTTTCAGTGCAGTATAGATTATTAACCCATCTTTCTCAGTCTCCCCCCAACCCTGATGTCAGTCCTGTTTTACAACAGTGGCACCATGCAGTAGTTGTCCTTTTGTGACTGAGTTATTTCACTCAGCATAATGTCCTCCAGGGTCACCCTTTTTGAATAATATTGCATGCGTTCCTTGTTTTTCAATGCAGCATAGTATTCCATTGTGTGAATATACCACAGCTTCTCCATTCATTTATTGATGGGCACTTAAGTTGTTTCCAACTCCCTGCTATTGTGAACAAAACCGCAATAAACATGAGTGCGCATATATCTGCTTGGGTGACAGTTACAGTCTCTTTGGGGTGTATTCCCAGTAGTGGAACTGCTGGGCCTAACGGTATCTCTATTTGCAACTTTTTGAGAAAGTGCCATACCGCCTTCCACAGTGGTTGCACCATTTTACACTGCCACCAACAGTGAATAAGGGTTCCAGTTTCTTCACAACCTCGCCAGCATTTGTTGCTTGCACTTTTGAATTTTTAAAGAAAATTTTATTTATTTTTTTGTTGAGAATACTTAGCAAACATAGACTAATTCAGCATACGCAATTCATTGATGTTGAATACATTCTTGGAGCTATGCAACCGCTCTCGTACTCCTTTTGTAAATTGTTCCTCATTTGTGTAGCATATACTCTTTGCTTCCAAGGGGGCCCTGGTGGCATTGTTGTTTGTTGTTATGTGCTGTTGAGTCACTTGCGACTCATAGCGACCCTATGCATAGCAGCCCTAAACCCTGCTCTATCCTGTGCCAATTGCACTGCCTCTGACACACCCATCCCGATCACCCCAGTCACTGAATCAATCCACCTCATAGAGGGTCTTCCCCTCTTGTGCCGTTGCTCCACCCTCCCAAGCATGATGTCCCTCTCCAAGGACCTGTCCCTCCTTACAACATGTCCAAAGTATGTCAAATCCCTGCCTCCAAGAAGCAGCCTGGTTTAATCTTCTCTAGGATGAATCTGTTTTCCTGGCAGTCCATGGTGCCCTCAATACTCTTGTCCAGCACCACAGCTCAAAGGCATCAATTCTTCTTCTATTCTCCCTAGTCATTGTCCAACTCTCTGACGCATAACAAGTGATTGCAAAGACCATAGCCTGTGTCAGAAGCACCTTAGTCTCCAGAGTGACACCATTGCTCTTCCGTACCCTGGAGAGGTCCCTAACAGCACACTTTCCCAACGCAATATGTTTTTTGATTTCCTGGTTACTGGTGCCAAGAGTGTTGACCGTGGAGCCAAGCAGACTAAAGTTGTTAACAATCTCAATCTCTTCACCATCCATCCTGATGCTGTCATTTGGTCCAGTGGTGAGAATCTTTGTCTTCTTGACATTGAGCCTCAATCCATACTGAAGGCTGCAGTCTTTGACCCTCTGCAGCAAGCATTTCAGGTCCTCCTCAGTTTCAGCAAGCCAGGTTGTGTCATCTGCATAAGACAGATTATTAATAGATCTTCCGTGAATCCTGACGCCACACTTCCCCTCACAGAGCCCTTTCAACCTGGTGACATAGTGGTAAGGAATTGTGTTGCCCACTGAAAGGTACACAGTTTGAATCCACCAGCTGTTCCACGAGAGAAAGATGGGCAGTCATCTTACTGCCTCTGAAAACCTGTTGCTGAATGGTCAGCTATAGGTGATTCTTGACTCAGTGGTACCCGACATCAACAGTATTGTTCCCTAAGGTTCTGATCTACTTATTTGAGTTGACAATGTCAATTTTATCCTAAATAGAAACTTTTCAAGAAAGTATAATTATCAAGGCATATCTTTTTTTCATTAGTTAGCTTTTTTCCTAAGCTAAACTATTGTTTACTTATAAGAATAGTTCAGGGGATAGTTTTGGTATCATGTTTAAGATTATTTCAGGGCAGTAGTTTTGATTCTTCTACCCCAGGTTTTAGAAAATCTAGTTGTTTTGTACCTTGAAGTCAGAATTGATCCAATAGCTGTGTTTTCAGAGGCAGTTAATTGCATGGGAGGAGCCCATCTTAGCTGATGATTTTGAACCACATGCCTTTAGAATTGCAGTGCAGCTTCTTACCACTAGGCCACTAGAGCCCTACAAAGCCTAGAATGCATGAGAAGTTGAAATTCTGCATTGCCCTCTCCTTGATTAGGATTTTGCTATGGAGTTTGATCTGAATGTTCGGGAATAGCAGCCCAGGAACTATATCTAGTTCATTTGGATTCCTGGGCTTTGAATAATGAAACTCACATTTATAAACCCTTGAAATCTCTTTTATATCTTTTTGTTGTTGTTGTTATGTGTTGTCGAGTCGCTTGCGACTCATAGCTACCCTATGCACAACAGCCCTAAACTCTGCTCTGTCCTGTGCCAGTCACACTGTCTCCGACACACCCATCCCGATTATCCTTTTAGCCTGTTATTTAATAAAAACAGCAGATTGCAGTAGATAAAGACTAAAATCCATAATACAAATGAGTATTATTACAAGCTTTGAGAAATAAATGGTTGAATGTATGACCTTTTGACTATTGCTTTTTTTGTTGTGATTATTTTTTTCCTTTTTATTTTTTTAAAATTTATTTTCATGAAACTTTACAGAGACTTTGGATTTCCATTCATTCATTGTTGCACATTTTCCTCCCTGTCCAGCCCTTTCCCCAGTTCACTTTCGTGCTAAACAGTTCTCTCCCTCATCTCTTTCAATTCAGTATACATTATTTATCCTCTCTTAGTTTCCCTCCAACCTCTATGTCAGTCCTGCTTTTTAAGTGGCACTGTGCAGTATTTGTCCTTTTGTGACTGAGAGATTTCACTCAGCATAATGTCTTCCAGGGTCACCTATTTTGTATATTTCATGAGTTTCTTGTTTTTCAATGCTGCATTGTATTCCATTGTGTAAATATACCAAAGCTTCTCTAGCCATTCGTTTGCTTATGGGCGCTTGGGTTGTTTCTAGCTCTTTGCTATTATGAACAAAGCCGTAGTAAACATGGGTGTGTATATATCTGCTTGGGTGGTGGTTATGGTTTCTATAAGATATATTCCCAGTAGTGGAATTGCTGGGTCAAATGGGTTTCTATTTCTAACTTTTTGAGAAAGTGCCATACTGCCTTACATAGTAGTTGCACCATTTTGTATTCCCACCAACAGTGAATAAGGGTTCCAGTTTCTCCACAACCTTGTCAGCATTTGTAGTTTGTTGTTCTGATATCTTATAATTGTTTTGATTTGCATGTCTCTTAGAGCTAGGGATTTTTTGAACATTCTTCATGTGTGTATTCACCATCTGAATGTGTTCTTTGGTGAAGTGTCCATATCCTGTGCCCATTTTTCAGTTGGGTTGTTTATCTTGTTGTGGTGTTTAGTTGTGATTTTAATGGAAATTTACAAAAAAGTTGGATTTTTATTGATTCATTGTTGCGCATTTTCTTCCCTCTCTCCCTAGTTCACTTTACTATGCACTGCTTATTCTGGACTGTTGTCATATAATGCCTAAACATATATTCCTTTTAAACATTTCTTTCCTTCATCTGTTCCAATGCAGTATTCATTATTTATTCCCTCTTTTCTTAGTTTCCCTCTAACCCCCATGTTGGTCCTGTTTATAACAGTATTTGTTATACAGTATTTGTCCTTTTGTGACTGAGATATTTCACTCAACGTAATGTCCTTCAGGGTAACCCATGTTACATTTAACCTTGGTGTCTATTTCTCTCCCAATAGTGGCTATGACTTTGGTTACATGGTAAAGCTACTTACAGATTCTCGTTTGCCAGAAGAAGAACATGAATTCTTTCATATTTTGAACCTTTTCTTCCCATCCATTTACGATGTGAAATACCTGATGAAGAGCTGCAAAAATCTTAAGGTATATATGCACTTTCATTCTTTTTTTCTTTTTCTTGTTTGCACTTTCATTCTTTTTTTCTTTTTCTTGTTTGCACTTTCATTCTTAATGCTAGTAGCATGAAGAGAAAAAAACAAAACTATCATTTAGCATTATTTGTTCAGCATGCATTTTTTTGAGTGCCTACCAGATGCCAGAAATGTTCAGTATAGGGTATATAATATGGAGCTGATTGATTTAGGGTTTTGTGTGGCAACCTTTTCTAACCTGGGCATCAAGGAAAATCTTTTTGCTTTCACGTCAAGAAAGCACCAGAACCCCAGGAAAATAGGGGTCAGTTTGTTAGGGCACAGGTCTGTAATGTACCAGATTTTCAAATGAGTTCTAAATCCTAGAAAGTTGATGAACCTATTACCCTAAGTATTGTGTTCACTAGCTAGGATTTGATTGGTAGTTTTTGTGTTTTTATAGCAGCTTTGGAAGGCAGAGGTCTGTCAAAATTAGTGATGGAGAAAAGAGGAGCAAAATGCAGCATGTAACATAAAGTTAACATTTGGAATAAGAAGAGCTAAGAGCTAGAGAGTGGAGACCAACTGGGGTTAAGTAAATGGCCTGTTTTCACATTCTGCCACTGCAAGTAGTACACTTAGGGGTGGCTTTAGTTGACTCCCCTAGAATGAATATCCACTCTGTAACACTGTTCCTTTCACATTCGCTTCCAGGGAGGTCTTCAGGAAGTTGCCGATCAGTTAGATTTGCAGAGAATTGGAAGGCAACACCAGGCGGGCTCAGACTCACTGCTGACTGGAATGGCGTTCTTTAGGATGAAAGAGGTGAGCTGTGTGGGAACTGGGGCCTGGTTACTGGGGCCTGGGTGAAGGCTGAGATGATAGTCTTTGTGGGTTGTTGTTTGTTGAAACTATAACAATTTCTGGAAGTTGATAAATACTTTGAAAGTTTTGTTGTTGCTCTTTTTATTAAGATTATTATTAAGCTTAGGGATTTAAAAAAAATTTTATTCATTCATTGTACATTTCTCCCTCCTCCACCTTTCCCCCCTCCCATTCCACTCTGCAGTGCTCCTCTCGGTCCACATTGTTGTCATATGTATAATGCCTAACCACATACTCCTTTCAGACAGTTCCTCCCCTCATCTGTTCCAATGCGGTGTTCATTATCTGTTCATTCTTTTCCTATTTTCAATCCCCTAACCTCCCATGTCAGTCCTGTTTTATAACAGAGGTGTTATGCAGTATTTGTCATTTAGTGACTAAAATATCTCACTCAGTATAATGTCTTCCAGGCTTGCTTGTGTTGTGTGATGTTTTATGAGTTCACAGTTTTTCTATCCATTCGTTTGTTGATGTGCTCTTAAGTTGCTTCCATCTTTTTGCTATTGTGAATAACTCAGGAATAAATATGAGTTTATTTTTATTATATACATTGATACTTATTACATACATCTGTTTGAGTCATGGCTCTGGTTTCTTTAGGGTAAATTCCCTGTAGTGGAATTGCTGAGTCAAGTGGTATTTTTTTGTCCAACTTTTTGATTGTTGTTGCTTCTATGCTGCACCATATTGAATGTTGTGTTATAGGCAGAGGAGCATTTTAAGAAACTACTTAGCATACCTAAGTGTGGAAATATATTTAGTGTTCTAATTCTTTCAGTTATTTGCATTTCTTTTTTTGTAGTATGAACACTTGTTAGTATTCAGATACTGTATTGTTCTGTTGTTCTTGGGAATCAGGTCCACAACACCTAATAGCAAAGTACTGAATTTAGTACAGTTCATTAGCAAAGGGACTGCGTTTCTGTTTTGTTTCCTTACTCACACACTCACTGTTTAAAAATGTAGTTGAAAGGGGAGCTCTGGTGGCCTAGTGGCAAGAAGCTGCAACTACAGTCTCAGAGGTGCACGGTTCGAATCCACCAGATGCTCTGCCGGGGAAGGAGGGGCAATCTCCTCCTGTACCAGTCAGATCTGATTTGACGGTACACGCACACAAAAATAATAAAATAAAATTAAAAAAATATTTTAAAAAAATGTAGTTGAAGAGGTAGAGGGAGTTAGGAAGCTGCTTTGAAAAGGAGCTCCTTTACAGACCACGAATGTGGCAAGGGAAAATACATTTTGTTTGTTACTCTTAATTTTTAACTGTCACTGCTATCTTTACTGTGTGTAGTGTGGTTTTTAACCCAAGGCAGTTTGATCTCAGGAAACATTTGACAATGTCTGGAAGCATTTTTGGTCAGTCGGGGAGGAAGTGTTATTGGGTGAAGCAAAACAGCCTCCAGTACACTTAACAGCTCTTCCTCCCAGCTGCCCCTCCTGCTCCAGACCTGCCCCTGTAATCACGCTGAGGTGGAGAGGTCCTGGGCCAAGTGCCGCTGCCCATTATCTCAGCCCCCGTCACAATCCTAATACAATATTAATCCCATTTTATACTTAGGAATGGCTTAAAGAGAATGGAAATGAATGTGTGAAGGTTACGTAGTGAGCTAGTTCATCTAGAGTCCAGGCTCTTAACCATTTTAACTGCACATTAGAGAGAAAGGAGCCGTGCTGGATTCACTAAACAGTGGCGCAAGCACCTTGGCAGTAAAGAACTCCTGAAGTCAGTGTTCAGCAAGGGATCCTATAGTTGGAGACTCAACTCACTGAGTCAGAACTGACTCCTAGCTGACCCTCTAATGGGTTTTTAGAGGCTGTAAATTGTGTGAGAGGAGAAGGCTCATCTTTTTCCTGAAGAGCAGCTGGATTGGACCGCAACACCCCACACTCTAGGCCACCTCTGTGGACACAGTGGAGAAGAGAATATGAAAAGATTAAGAGATAGTTGGATCCTTTATTAGGAGAACTGACAGGGTATAGTGGTGTTTAGACTTTGAATCTTGTCATGATTCTCACCTTGGGTTCTCTGTCTTTGTCTGCAGTTATTTTTTGAGGACAGTATCGATGATGCCAAATACTGTGGACGACTCTATGGCCTAGGCACAGGTGTGGCCCAGAAGCAGAATGAGGACGTGGACTCTGCCCAGGAGAAGATGAGCATCCTGGCCATCATCAACAACATGCAGCAGTGATGGCGGCGAGGCTCTGCGGGCGGGCTTGCCCCCATGGTGCTGCTCACTGTGCTGACTGGGCTGTGCATACTTGTCTCCTTCCCTGAGAGAATGCTTTTTGAGCAAACTGTACCTACCATCTGCACTGAGCAGAAAGACTTCTGTTTTACTGAAGACAAAAGATGTCTTTATTTTAGATCGAGAAGAGGGGCGTTTGCTCTGAATTTGTAAACAAGTCTTCCCTGTTCCTCATCCCCAAGTCTCCAGTTGCCTCCTGTCACCAGCATCCATGGCTCATTTGACACCTTTTTAAATATCCAGGACAAGTCAGAAACAAACTAGTAAAATGTATATAACTCTTACCTGTTGTCATTCTTTTTCTTTTTAACTTGTTGCTAATCTCTGATGATGAAGATTTCTACTGTGAGTCTCAGCTGAGCTGAGGGCTTCCAGGGAAAATGGAACAGAAGCGTGGTCTTGTGAAGTGGTTTATAGATGTTCAGTCTTTTCCTTTCCTCTTAGTTCTGACCCTCTGGTGGACATTTGCTTTTTTCACACTTTGGTTGTCTGTACATACTTTATGTGGAAATGAATTGTTCAGTGCTGAAATATGAAGACCAGTGAATGAAAACTTCTTGAAGGCCAACATCCTACTGAACCTGCTCCTCACAAGAAACTTGAGAGTGCGTATTAAGTTACCATTTATATTCTTTAAGTCTGTGCTCCATTATGCCACAGATTTTCTGTCACAGGTGTAACTCATCTGAAAGAATTTTAAGTCTTCATATAAAATATTCCAAATTTTAAAATCCTCAAGGCAATGGATAAAATCAGCTTTTGGAACATAAATCTCTTCTATTTTCAGTGTGATTTCAGATGGTTGTCTGTATTCTCTCACTGCTCCACTTTCCCTGCTTGTCCTTGCAACAGACTTAGAAGTTGGGAGATGGATTTATTCTGAGTATGAGAAATCTGAGTCTTTAAAAAATACTAGTTACATGTAAACAGGGCAGTAAAGGAATTTGATTTTTGTTTAAATCTGTTGGAGTAGTAGTCTATGAGGGGAGGAAGCTTGGGACTACGTTTTGTTGCTTTTTAAAGCTAGTCATTTAAAAGGTACACTATATTTTTTGAATGACTGCAGTATATAGATTTTCAATAAAAACAAAAACCCCTTTAGAACAGTGGAAATGACAACTGGTACTCACTGAAGTGGAGGAAGTCTTCCATTTTAAAAAGCTCAATGGGAAATTCAATTTGATGAGTGATTAAAAATGTCAAGTATTATAAATTGGTATTTAAGATGCTTGTAAATATTATTTATGTTTTTAATTTTGTAAAATAAAGATTTTTTTTTTAAAACCAGTGGCATGAAGGTTGGTTTTTGATAACTATGGGACGTGCCAGCTTTGGAATACGGTCATCTGAGCAGTGATGGCGAGGCACCTTGTTTACCCTCAGATACTTGCCTCCATTTACACAAGTTGGCCTGTCTTGCTTTGCAGTTGGTTTGTTGGGTTTTTTTTAACTTTTTATGGTGAAGCTTTACAAAGTGTTACTTATTTTCCACTCAATAATTTATATGCAGTTTCATGACATTGCTCATAATAGTCATCCACATTTTAACGCCACTCTTCCCGTTTCCTAACTTTGTGGATTTGTAATAAGCAGCTGTGTAAATTGTCTCTTTGCTCCATACCTCCTGTTAAAACTGGGCCTTACTAGAAACCACTTTAATTCCTTGGGACCACTCTATGGTGAACGTGTTTATTAGTGAAAATGTGTTAATACTGCACTTCTGACATCATCTGATTTCAGTATTCCATTTACTCTGAATTTGTAAGCAGGTCTTCCTTATTCCTCATCTGCAAGCCTCCTGCCACAGAAAATGTGAGGTGGTTAGATACAAGAGCAGATCTCAGGATGTTCACATAAGAGAAAGGTATTTAGCATTAACCTTTTGAGCTTAACTAGTGACTGAGCCTTACAGATACCCTTTCATAATGGCATGAAGAGATGAATTCCTTTGTCCTCAGTGGAGGACTGATTGTCACTGCCATGTCAGGAGATAGGTTAATATTGAGGAACTCTGTTAAGTAGATGAAAGTCTGATCATTGCTTGGAAGACATTTTCTCCTTTAATAGGAGTAAGCTTACTCCTTTAATAAGTAACCTTATGTTAAACAGCACAAACCAACAGGATTTGAATGCAGCAGTAAGAACAGGTAATGTACACCAATGTTTACTGCAGTAGCCAAAGGGTGGAAATAAATAATCATCAATGGATGAATGGATAAAATGGATGTACAGAGAACTGGAGTATTCAAAGGGGAAGTAAAGTCTTGAAGCATGGGTGAACTTGAAGATGTCAGCGAAATAAAAAGGAGACTCTGAACTCAAACAGCCAAATACACAGAGACTAAAGTTTATTTGTGGCTGCCAGGGTGGGGGAGGGAGGGTGTGAAGAAGTTACTGCTTATGTGGCGATTACTTCTTGTTTACACTGAAGAAAAAAAATCACATGGATTAAAGGGTAAGCAGTGCATAGCCAACTAAGTTTACTGACCTGTAGAAACTGCATTGGTAAATGCTTTGCAATGTTTATAACAAAAAGGAGCTGCTTATATACAAATAAATACTTGATGGGATTTGGTTTCTTTGGAGAGTAAGGACAGCATCCCAATATTTGACTTTTTAACTGTTCAGTGCTTCTGTTCTGCTTTAGTTCATGGCATAGTGTGTAGAGTAAAATGCTTATGGAGAGCCATCCAAGTGGTTTTTATTCACCCAGAGAAAAGTCAATTAGCCAGAAATAGGACGAGTGTGTGGCTAATTGCATTGATGAACAACTGCTTCTTATGAGATCAGAACTGGATGGTTCCCTGGTATTACTGCAGCAGAATCAGTTTCTGTTAACAATCCTGATCAAAACGGCTAACAGAATTTTAAACTCTCATGGAACACAGACATGCTGGAGCCACTGAATAAGATAATCTTTAGAAATACTCTTCACATAACGTTGTTATGTGCCATCAAGTTGGAACCAACTCACAGCTGATTCTCCAGCAGGTTTTCAGAGGCTATTAATTGCATGAGAAGATAGCCTGTATTTCTTTTGTGGAGCAACTGGTGGATTTGAACCACCTACCTTTGGTTTGGCAGTACAGCTTATGTAAGACCACCAGAGCTCCAAAATGAGTTTTGCACAGTAACTAAAGAATGTCTGCCTTGAACTTCACATTCTTGTAAAATCTATAGGGTATCAAACGGATAATAGTAACTTGTAAGATTAGTTTATTAATAGTAATTTGGAAAAGGAGCCAAGAGAATGGCTATACAACAAAGGTGGTGAGCAGTTTCACGGAATTGTACAAACTGTTGGTGTTTGTTCTGTGAATAATTGTGCTCACTGTAAAGCCCTATCAGCACTAGCAAAACCTTGAGTGCACACAGGGCTGCTCCAAGTCCTGGGGGCGGGGGGGCCAGGAAGTGCCCTGTTGCTAACTGAAAGACTGAGTGTGAATCACCTTCTGTGTTACTGCAGATCATGTAAAGACAGCCTAGAAAAACCTACAGGGTCACTGTGAGCCAAAAATGACAGTGGTGGTTGTACACATGGGATATGCATGGTTATACTCAAAATAGAAATTGTGCTAACACAAGGAAACACTAAAAAGGTGACTTTCAAAAGTACATTAAGTTCTAATCCAGCATGAGTGTAGTTTGCAGTCAACACTGGTATGAACACTCATTAAAGTCCGAACAATAAATGAAGAATATTAATTTCCTTCTCCTTGTTCATTCTGTCAAAAGCTACTAGAAACAAACCAGGTGTGCTCTTGAGTTGGTTCCACCTCATACCAACCCTCCATCAGGTTTCAGAGGCTGTAAATCGTCATGGGAGGAGACTGTTCAATGTTCTTCCATGGAGGAGTTGGGAGATTTGAACTTCTGATTTACTAGTTTGGCAGCAACATACAGATAATGTAATGTTGACTCTCTTTGGAGTTTACAATGTGTTACTAGACAGTAATTCACACCACACTTTGTGGAATCTTGGTCCAGTACAGCCAAACTCTGAGGTGAGAGGAAACTGCTGCATCCCAGCAGCCAGATCCAGTGAAGCTGGCATCTCCAAGTGAGGTGGAGTGTGTTCAAAAGACAATGATACAGAACAGACAGGGCTTTGCAAGTCACATTCAAGATTTTAATCTGCTTTTCCTAAAAGCAATGGGACACTACTGAAAAATACCTCAGAGTAGAATTTTTAAAATATGATATATAATTTAGAACAGTCATTGCCATATAAAAATGTCCAGAGTAGATTCAGATTTGTTGGGGGTTGACTGCACTTTTCTAGGCAAGAGAGGATGGAGGAGTGAACTGAGGGGAAGGGATGGGAGAGAGCCAAGGAGAAAAATTCTATATTGGATGGGGATATAGGTCAAAGAGATTCTCGAATTACTTATTCGCTTGGAAGCCTGTCTCAACCCAAGTGCTCTCTGTGGTTCTCCTCTGTCAATTAAGAAGTAATTGAAAACCATTTTTTCCAATCACAATGCCTTTAACATGTTATTCACTACCGGAAAAAGAAAAGCTCAGAAAGAAATGACACTACTTACTGTTATTCATAATATTCTCATGCTATAGGGTCACTAGTATTGCTCAAATACAAAGTAGTAAGTCTCAGTTTTTCCACAGCAGCAATTAAGGAGTGCTTAGGATTTCTTCACCCACTGGTAATGATTCCAATAAATGACAACAGTAAGAGAATCGATTACAGTTTAATAATTATGTGTTGTTTGACTGAAAAGGAGACACTTTTCATCCCTGCAGGTGAAGCTTTTCATCTTAAACTGGGCCAGGTTAGGTTACCCGGTTCTCTAGTAAGCCATGCCTCTGCCTCTGTCTCTGCAGACAAGAAACTCCTCCAGCCCCTAGGTCCATGCAGTCTCTTCTTACATGTAATTGTGTAAAGAACTACAGAGCTCTACATTCGAGATAATAGTTCCACTGTAGAGCTTAGCACTTTTTGCACTCTCAGGTGATTCTAATAAAAAAGCAGACTGTGGAACCCAGCGTCTGAAATCTTTTCCTTTCTGGAGTTTCTGTTGGTGAATTTCATTTCCTTATCCAAAGCAACCCTAACCCTAGTAACAAACTGAAAAACAAAATGGATGCCCAAACAGAAAACCTTCAGAATTAATTTTAAAATACTTCATTCAATATTGGGAAGGAACGTTTGTCATACCCACCTAATTTTTATATTCCCTCAACTCTGATAATACAGAAGCATTTGTTCCTGACATTGTTCAACTTAAACATCTGTTTAAATAAGAAACACACACCTCAAGAGAATGATCATTAGGGGGTGTGTGTGTGTGTACACGTACACACACACGTACGTTGTTGTTAGGGGCCGTCGAATTGTAGATGACTCATAGCGGCCTTACAGACGAAAGGCCTGAACACTTTGTACATAGAATTGCCGCTCCTGCTTCCAGGCTTGTTTTAGTCGTGCATATATAAAGAGAAAAGAAAAAGAGAGGAGAGCACAGGTTTGTAACCATGTATCATTGTAGTTCCATTATACTAAAGCTGGAGTCCACTGATCCAAAAGTATGTAAACTATGAATATGTATTTTTCTTCAGAGTGTCTGTAATTTTAATCAAATTCTTAAAGGGTCTGTGATCAAAAAGATTATGTCAATGACACAGTACTTTCTTCCTGAGCTATTCGATCATGATCAAGTCCTTCTTATAAAATGGAGAGATGAAGAGCATTGAGTTATTTTTTCTTCTAAAGCTTTAGCAAATGATTTGTCCAAATAAACAATTACATAAACTAAAAAAAACAAATCAAAATGGCCTAAAGTCCATACAAAGGATAAAGAGTCAGGATGATAGGTAAGGCCTATTTCACATTTAAATTTTTATCTCTGAATGGGTACAGGGAGAAGACTTAAATTAATGAAAACACAAAGAAAAATTATACTAATTGTCACACAGCCACCAAAGGCAGCAACTTTCTACCAAGAATGACATGTTTACCGTTAGGCAAAGTGTTTATAAAAGTAGCCTGTGTTTAAGAAGATAACACTTTGGGTGACTGAAATGTTTCTCCTCTTTGGGTGAAACTGGCGTAAGGCTTTAGAGATGACCAACGATCGCTCTGAGGGTATTTTCCAAGGACTCACAGCTGGCTCTTCACATTCTTTCCTGCAGTGAGCAAGTGTCCTTAAGTCCAAAGAACCCAACTCTATGAAGGCTACTGTTTTTAAGGGTAGAGGTGATTCCAACCTGACCTCATTTGTACGGTTGGGAGAACTCGAAAAGAACGGAGGGCTGAAAGTAAAGGGAGGTGTTGAGTGCAGAGGGGAGCAGTGTCCTTCAAAGTTCACGTACAAGCCTGGCAGTGTCTTTTGTAAACTTGAGCGTGGCCATATTTCTGAAGAAGCTCTTGGGCCTTTTGCTGCACTTCTAGAGTCACACAGCCAGGACACTGGGACCCGATGTGAAGCAGGACTATGCAACATTCAAGCACATCTGGGAAGGGCCAGGTCTGAAAAAGGACACAAAAACGAGAAATGAAGCAATCACAAATGAAGAGCTACAGAGAGCATTCGTAACAACATAATGACAATTTCCAAGGATAAGGTTACAGGTTTTTCATCAATTACTAGATGGAGATACGACACTCAAAAATGGAATACTGGCATAGCCAGTACAATGTTGTTAAAGATTAATTAATTTTCAGAGCCTTATTAAAATCAATGAGAAAAAAAAAAGGATATTTCTATTATGGCTGTGACCACGCTCTCATACTCATTTACCTGTAACCTACTAGGTATGTGGTCCAATTTTAGTTCTGCTACGACTCACACAACTACAAAATTTGGTTTGAGATTTAGAATTGCCAGTGTGGTCACTAAGTCTCATAAAATGAAGCTAGATCTTAAAATTTTAAACACTTTTAAATATTTGAAGTTTAGAAATTGAACTGCGATTTTGATAGCCTCTAAGAAGCCTTTATAAGACACAATTAGCAATACAAGTATTATTTTACAGATGAATGTGCTGTATCTTACCTTTATATTCTCAGGAAACTTAGCCATTCTTTCATTTGCCTCTGTCAGCCTTCTGGTTAATTCAGGCAGAGAAATGGGTTCATTTTCTTCCTTATTACTAAATAAAAAGATAGTGTTAAATCATCTCTTGTTCTAGGTGAATTTTGTTATCATTCTCACTCATTCACTGACTCATAGCTGACCTTCCATTGGTTTCTGAGGCTATAAATCCCATGAGGAAAGTCACTGGTGGATTTGAACTGCCACGGGTGCTCCATCAGAACTCTCTAGAGACCACCAGAGTTCCTTTTTGTTGTTATGTGCTGCTGAGTTGGAAATGACTCACAGCTGACCCTCAAGGGGGTTACCAGAGATTATGAATTGTACAGGAGATCTGTGTGTGGAGCAGCTTATAAATTTGAACTGCCTGCCTCTGGGCTGGTTGTACAACTCCTTATTCATTGGGCCACCAGAGCTCCTTCTGTCATTAGTATGCTACAAATAAAATCCCTTTTTCACCTGACTCTTTTTATTCATGCATTTTTTTGTGCATACTGTCAAAGTAGATCTGACTGGTACAGGAGGAGATTGCCCCTCCATCTCCAGCAAAGCATCTGGTGGATTTGAACCATGTGCCTCTGGGATTGCAGTGCAGCTTCTTACCACTAGGCCACCACAAGAGCTCCCTCTCAGGGCATCTTTAAGTACAAATGTTGAAAGAAGGTGACTTAATATGATACCAAATGTTTCAAATACAGTATGACTGCCTACTGCTTTCGTCATTCCCAGCTTTATGGAACAGATTCAGTGACATGTGAATTTTCAAGGGATTCAAGTTAGAGAAACAGAGGGTCTGAACTTCTTGAGGAATAGTTAGAGCCAGTAATTTTTTATTCAGTCAATGGTGCATCCGTTCATCTTTATTTTTTTCTTGGTAGGGAGCTACATAATCTTCTCAAATGGTCCTGTGATTTTAAGATTAACAGCTGCTCAGATAATTTTCCCTCCTTTGTTAAAAAAACAAAACCTAAAGCTGTCTAGAGTGTGGTAGCTTACTAAAGATTTCAACGGGAGTATTTTTTCAGAGATCTAAAAATAGTTTTAAAGTTTTTGTGGTTTTAAAAAATTGGTAATAATAGCCACTTAAATTTACTGACTACACAATTTACTATGTCCTAGGTCTTATACAGATTTTCCCAGTGCAATGCATCTCCTTATTTCCTGACTGCTGGTTTGAAGGTGTTAACTGTGAATCCAAGCAAGATGAAGTTGCTGACAATGTCAATCTCCCCTCCATTCATCATGACGCTGCCTATCAGTCCAGTGCTAAGAATCTTTGTTTTCCTCACACTGAGATGCAATCCATACAGAAGGCTGCATTCCTTAATCTTTTGCAACAAGAGCTTCAAGTCCTCCTCACTTTTAGCAAGCAACCTTGTATGAAGGTTGTCAAACACAGGTGATTGATGTCTCCCTCCAAACCTGATGCCACAGAGGAGAAATGACGTTAGTTTGAGGACTAAGGTGCATCTGATTCAGGCCATAATCTTTCTGACCACTTGCTATGCATCTCAGAGCTGCACAATGAATAAGGATGACACAGGAAAAGAACTGACACCTCTGAATTGTGGTGTTAGAGAAGAGCATCGCACAACCCATGGATGGCCAAGGGAACAAACAGATTACATCTCAAAGAGGGTGCAGCCTGAGTACTCTTTGGAGGCAAAAATGATGAGGCTTCTTATCTCACATACTTTGGGCATGTTGCTAGGAGGGGATATTCCTTGGAGAAGGACATGATGTTGGGAAGGTTGGAGGGCTGGCGAAGGAGAGGAAGACCCTTAACGAGGTGGATTGACATGACAGCTGCAATGGGTTCTTGTGTGTAAGGAAGTGTGAGGACAGTGCAGAATAGAACAGGGTTCAGATCTTTTGTGCACTTGAGTCATACTCAATTTGAAGGCACTTAACAACAAGAGGCCTTGTACACAGGGAGCTCTGGTGGCTTAGCAAAAAGCAATGGTACTATCAATATAAAGGTATGAGGTTTGAATCCATCAGCTGCTCTGTAAGAGCAAGATGGGCAATTTCCTCCCATGTGATTAACTGAAAAGTTGGAGGGCCCACTATGACTTGTTTCCAATTCCATGGTACACAAGAACAATAATCACTATGTAAGGAGCCCTGGCAGCAGTGGTTAGATACTTGGCTGCTACCTAAAATATTGGTGGTTTGAATCCATCAGTCACTTTGTAGGAGATGCTGTGACTGTGTGCTTGCTTAAAGATCTACAGGGTTTTTTTATAATTTTTGTGTGTGTATCGTCAAACTGGATCTGACTGGTACAGGAGGAGACTGCCCCTCCTTCTCCGGCAGAACATCTGGTAGATTTGAACCACAAACCTCTGGAAGACGGACAGTCTCAGAATCCCTTTATGACAGTCTTCTTTGCCCTAAAGGGTCATTATAAGTCAGAATGCATTTGATGGCAGTGAGTTTGGGTTGGGCCATAATCAAGATAAGGTAAAAGGCACTAAAAAGCACAAAACCTAATTAATAATTATTAATTCCTCCAAAATCTCACAGTAAAATACCCAGTGATCAAGCAAATTCAGCGCTATGGTGAGAGATGGCTGGCTCTGGTCTTCCTCATGGTATCTCGATCAGATGGGATCTTTGGAGTCTAGTGAGTGAGCTCTTAGCTGCTGTGATAATGCAGCAAAGGTGGAAAGCACTGTTTCTCAAAACAACTGAGGTAGGAACTGACAGGACAATTTATGAATGAGAAAACTGGTGATGTACGTGAAGCCATGCAGCAGGGCCAGAATTAGAACCCATGTCTCACTCCAAAGCCTATACCTTCATTAGTGCATAATGCTGCTCCCACACGACTTGATTACCATTACAAGCCAGGTATAGCATTTTTCATTCCATTTCTTATCTGACTTACCACTGACTCTGTGGATCAGAGAAGGGGCTTTCTGCTTCCTGTTCGGACTCACTCTTATCAGGACCATTCACTGTGGATTTACAGAGCTGACTTCTCTGGTGCTGGTGGATCATTTCTGCCAGGGTCTCCTGGACTTGGGCAATGGTTCTCTGTGAGTTCTGGAGACTGGCATGCTCGTCTGAGAGGAGCTCTACACAAGCACCCAGCACTTGCTCACTTTCTTCCGTGAGCCTCAAGTCCACTCCTGTAGGCTGGCTTAGCTCTGGCTGGGAAAGAGCCGCAGGGCTAGCTTCTTCAGGGCTGCCATTAGGCAGCTGCTGGCTCTGCTCAATGGTTCTCCTTGTATGATCAACATGGACCCAGACACTGGATTCAGAGTAAGACCCGGAGAGAGACCACCAGAGTTCATACAGGCGTCCATAAATAAAAAAGGCCTCTAAACTTTTGAAGGCCGGTGTGCTGGAGGACTGAGGGTCTCCTAGTTTCTGTCTTAGGTGGTCACAGCCTAGGAGAAGAATAAAAAGATTTGAGACTGCAACTTTATCTCCTGAAAGTCTGACTTCCTGTCCTCATGTTCTGTTTCCTACCATGCAAGAGGCAGATCAAAATAAAGGACAGTGAGGTACCTCCCAAGTGAAGCCAACTGGAGCAGAACATTTCCTGACTGAGGACAATGTTTTCATTGCTGCAAGTTAGAAATCATTAAATAAGCATTCTGTCTCACTGGGCCTCGGGTTACATTTATTATGATCCCACAGTGCTCCTGAAAAATCAAAATGATCTAGTGCGGTGGCTATCCTGCAGCCCAAGAGATTCTGCTAAATTTCTGTATTCTACAGAGTCCTTGGGTGATGTAAACAGTTAAGTACTCACAGCCGCTAAGGTGGGAAGTCCAAGTCCACCCAGAGGAACCTCAGAAGAGAGGTCTGATGATCTACTTCTGAGCAAGAGGCTAATGAAACCTTAGGGAGCACAGCTCTGAGGATGGTATTCAGTCACAGACGAGGTTTCCATGATTCAGTGTGGATTCCATGGCAAGTGGTGGCTTCCATTCTTACGAATTTGTTACATTAACCCCTTTCTTAAAGTAACTGCACTAGGAATGTAGGAGGCTAAGTGTAAGGTAGGTAAAGGAAAACAGTTCAGGGATTCAGACTGTCTCTTAATGTTCTACTAAGAGGACTCAGCTGCCAATATCTTTTGAGAACCTATGTGCTGCTCCTAGTGGTGCACCACTGGGTGGCAGTGAAATGGCTCACCAAGAGGTGCATTCCTGGCAGAGGTGGGAACATTTACCATTGGGAATAAAGGCAGAGTAGACTTCCTGCATAATGGTGAAGTTCCCCGAGCCGTAGCTCCGGGTCACAGCGCGAAGCAGTGCGTCCACAGCCTCGTCCCAGGAGGCCACATGCTGGCTCAGTACTGCCAAGGTCAAGTCGTGGCAAATGTGAAGCAGGAGCTGGAAAAGGAACCAAGAGTTTCAACTGAACACGCACCCAAAAAAGACACTTAAGACACCACAAATGCTCCTATTAACTGAACCCGGAAAGAAGTACAAACGATTCACATTTATGTATCTCATATTTCTGCTTCCCCATAAGCAACGCATATCCAGCTGCGCAGAAAACAAATGACATCTTGTTAAATTTTTCAGAAAATGTCCCGACATTTGCACTTAAGTAAAACCAAAAAATGAGTTTCTGGAACTTTTATAAAAGTTATAATTCTTTAAATAAAAAAAAAACACTGTAATTCTTTATATAAAAAAATAATGATGTATTACTAAGAAAAATAATCAATGTTAGGTGTATAAGCAGATGTGTTTTAAAAAAACTAGGTTTTTTTTTAATCACACACACACACGCGCGCGCGCAAGAGAATGCCATTCACAGCATACAGAACATTCATATTATCCAAAGTATTCCCACATGTCCACTCTGTAGCCCCTAACAATCACTGCTTTGTTTTCTGCTACTGTCATTTTGTCTTGCCTGGAATTCACATAAATGGAATCAGAGTAAGTATTCTTCTGTCTTAGGTCTTTCACTTGGTATTATACTTCTGAGATGAACAATTTTTTTCACTCCATAGAAGTTTATGGTTTGAAGAAATTTTATACCTTAAAAAAATTTAATGATATCTCATATGTGCCTTTGAGTGAGAATATTCACAGCTGAACCCTATGGGAGGAGACGGTCATTTTCCTCCCATGAAGCTGCTGGCAGATTTAGGCCTTGGGGTTGGAAGAGCAATACGATATAGAAACTCATAAAAAGAACTTGCCTGATACAATAAAGGGACTGCCTTTGGTAAAGAGCACTGAGGAAAAGGAACAAGAATAATTTTCACTTTATGTGTCAAGTTGCAATCCTTTTATTAAAAAAAAATCAAAGAGGCGAACTCTGGTGGCCAAGGGTCAAGAAGGTGCACTGCAATCCCAGAGGTATGCGGTTTGAATCCACCAGATGCTCTGCTGGAGAAGGAGGGACAATATTCTCCTGAACCAGTCAGATCCAATTTGATAGTACACACACACACACAAATAATAAAAAGTTGCAAATAGAAATACCATTTGACCCAGCAATTCCACTAGGAATTTACCCTAAAGAAACCATAACCACCACACAAGCAGATATATGCACACCCATGTTTACTGTGGCTTTATTTGCAATAGCAAAGAGCTGGAAACAACCCAAGTGCCCATCAACAAATGAATGGATAGAGAAGTTCTGGTATATTCACACAATGGAATACTATGCAGCATTGCAAAACAAGAACTCATGAAATATTATGCAAAATGGATGACCCTGTAGGACAGTATGCTGAGTGAAATATTTCAGTCACAAAAGGACAAATACTGCATAGGGCCACTGTTGTAAAACGGGACAGACATTAGGGCTGAGGGGAGACAGAAAAGGTGGGGAAGAATGAGATACATGGCACTGAAACAGATGAAAGAGAGAACTGTTTAAAAGAGATACATGAATGGGTGTTATTGTCATTACAGAAGTCCAGAGTGAAGGCTGTATAGTGAAGTGGACTTGGGGGGAGGGACTGCATAACAATGAAAGAGTGTTTCCTTTTCTTTTCAAGGAAAAGAGTGATTTGGTGGGGAGGGGGTAGGCAGGGAGAACAGGACAATAATGAATGACTGGAAACCCTAAGTCTGTAAACTTTCATTAAAATAAATTAATTTTTAAAAAAGAAATTTGGTGAAGAAAAATGACAAAATATCAAGCTTTAACGCTAGCCACAGATATTCTTCTTTGTGTTTACTATATTTTTAAACTTTAAAAAGAAAAAGTGAATCCAAGAGTGACTTCAAAGCAAACTGATTTCACTCATTTGAAGGGAGTTTCCCAGGTTGCCTGGGCCTGCCTTAGTCTTTTCTGAAATACTAATTAGACTGTTTCCCTACTATATTGGAAACTATTAAGGAGGCCTCATTACTTGTTGACTAATATCCCGTGTTGATGCAGCCAGAGTACCTGCTTGGAAGGAGTGTTACTTGTAGCAGATGGATACTTGATGCTCTGTAGCTTCTGTAATGCTGCCTGATACTGCTCTGTGGAATCAAGGCCAAAGATGCTCTTCCACACTGCAGTCACCCTCTTCTGAAAGGGCTCTTCTATGGCTGTTGTCCAAACATTATAAGAGGTGACACTTTTGCATTCTGAAAGCTGTTTTTCCTCCAGATGCTTGGACAGTAGTTCAAGAAGACTAAACACCAGTCTCTGACCCTGGAATCCAACCACAAAAGAGAATTGTTAGACATCAATGCAAGACTAAGCCACATAAAGACGAGCCACACAATATCCATGGCCTAGTGTGAGAAAAGACAGAGGGACATATCAGTCTTTCTTCCTATGCAAATTTCAAATGGGCTTAGAGAAGTAAAGTGTAATGGGCTGAGGAGCTGACAGAGAAGCTATGCAGATTTGAGAGCCAGGCAGGCCTTATGGGGTCAGGACCAAGTAGGATTCTCAAAGCAGTCAGCGGTAAGAGAACAGAAGCACGAAGAAATGGACTGAGTAACTGTATTCTTACTAGATGTTTCAGGTGGCATGAGATCCTCTCTATATTACCATCACCATCACTATCATCACCTTTTCTCAGATAAGCCTGAGAAGGTCTCTGTTCTGTATAGCCAGAATAACTTTTCAGTTAGTATAACATTATTATTAATGATGCAGCTTAACAGAGAATGAAATGCCAGTAACCATTTTGGGAATATATTTTGGTTGTGGATACAGTAAAAGCTCTTTTAGATCCAGTCATTTATTAATAACATGCCTATAAGATACTTGAAAAGTTCTGCTATTTTTGTCTCCCTTCTTTTTACAGTTCACAGAAAGCTGCCTTACTAGCATTCTCCATGGACTTTAGATATTCAGGCTAGAAACAAACTTTAGTTATGCTACTAGAGATGGAAGAACTTAAAAATTTCAGGTTAGAATGCATCAAGCAGTCATCTAAAATGAAATAGATGTTTGCATGTATGGAAACTCAATCAAGAGTGCTGATCCTTTAAAAGCACTTTCAGTTTTGGTGCGTGAGACATGGCAGTGGTAGATTACCACACAGGGAAAATAATGAGCATTCTGATATTGCCACACTTCTTTACAGCTTCCAGCTGAAGGGCACTGCAGGCAGAGTACTGTTATGTATATTAAACGGCAACTCTGAATCCTCCTCTTCAAAGACTGTGCTGATAACATCAATGGGGTAAATACCTTCTGGGTCTCGGCTGAGGTCTATTCAGAGATGCTCTACACAGACTGATAAATGAAGTAAAATACCATGAGAAGCACATCACCTTGTTTTGTGTAAGGGAACTGATAAAGCACTGTAAAGCAGTAGAGCACAGCCAGGTGAACTGGACACATAAAAGGTTATCTGCAAAATTGGTGGTTTACATAGTTGGGGAACAGACATGGAATTTGACTAAGATTCACGGCCAAGAGAAGAAGAAATGGACTCACCGTTAGACTTTCATGGAGCTGCAGGGCTTCCTGGGCTCCCACCCAGTTCCTCGTCAGAAGTAGCTCTTGTGCACATCTTAGAGCCAGTGAAGCAGACAACTCCTCCTCACCCACTATCGAAGCCAACTCTGCGGCTGTTCTTAGTGATGCCGCATCCCCCTTTTTGGCCAAAACTTTAGCTGCATCATAAGTGGAGCTGGCCCCTAAGTAACTACAAAACAAAAGAAATGTCATGAACAGACCTACTCTCCTATCACAGTGGGATGTCCTTCTGTTCTGTGGGCCTGCAGTCTCAGGTGTGTCTGCCTCTGTCCCTGTGAAGGCTGTGGTCGGCACAGCTCACCAAAAGACATTACACCATATGGGCTGAGGACATAAGCAAACACCAATATCTGCTGATCTGAAGCAAGAAGGGGAGTGATACCTTCCCATTTTTATCTAAGAAAAAAACTTGTAAAATACAGATGTACTGGAATTAAAAAATTTCTAGATTGATGTCCCATTAAAGGCTGCCTGTGTGCCATCAAGTCAGAACCGACTTATAGCTGACCATCCAACAAGTTTTCAAAGGAAGCAAACTGCACAGGAGTAGACTGCCCATCTTTCTCCCTCTGACTATTTGGGGAATTTGAGCCATATGCCTTTGGGTTGACAGCACAGCTCCTTACCACTAGGCCACCAAAGCTTCAGTCACCTTAGAAATGTGATTACCCTCCTAGAAAACAAGGACAGTATGCATGCTGCCTAACAACAGAACATCTTGACTAGCAGAGTCTAAAATAATGAAGCCTGGCTTGAAAATGGTAGCTGATAGCATTGCTTTGCATGTGGGTTCTGGCAAGAATGCAATTTCCCGTGCAAGGTTCTTGAAAGGAATCATTACATCTGCTCTGACTCTCCCATGCCAAGACTGTAACCAATCATTTTTCCTATTGCAGGAAAATTTGCAATTTACAAATTTGACTCTGCTCTGGTTTTGTGGCATCAGCCATACATGAACCAGTTTGATATCATTAATAGGATATCTTAGTCTGTTACTCAAGTTTCCTGAATGATTATGGTGATTTATAAAAGTATCAGTGAAGCAAAACCTGTGAGTCTTAAGATACACTTTTTCATTTCCTAGCTACTTTACTCTCACTTCTAAAGCCTGTAACCTTAATTTTTGATCTGCTTTTCTTGGTTTACTCTCTGCAAAGGGGTGTTATCAGTTCCCTCTGGCTTACCATTTGGCTGCCATGGCATAATGGCCATCTTTTTCTAGGACAGCTCCCCAGCTGAGGTACAGGTCCTTCAGAATCGGATCCTCTGGGCGCAGCCGGGCCTTAGCAATGGCGATAGCTTCCCTAAAGGCAAGAACAGATAACTCATCAAAATGAAAAGGCTCTGAGGAGGTGTTGCAATACAGGACAAACCATCTCATTGGTGTTCTGTACTGTTCTAACTTCCTGTGAAAACTATTCCTTAAAAACACTGCACTTAATTTTTCACCGGGGTCAGTGACTCTTAAAGAATAATCTATGGACTTCTGGTTCCTCCAGATCCTTTCAGGGTCTCCTGAAGTCAAAAGTATTTTCGTAATAATGGTAAGAGGGTTACTGCCCCTTCACTGTGTTTCTATCTGCATACATTGTGCAGAAGCAATGGTGGGTAAAATGGGAATCTCAGCAGCAACAACAACAACAAAAAGGGGCTGTCTTTGATGAATCAACTTACTTTTTTAAATCCCTCAAGTACTCATTTCTAAAATACACTGTGTGATGAAATGTGAACCCATCAAATATTTTTGTTACATTGCAAAGGACAATGGTTGCCAAAAGGGAAAAGTGTGCAAGACTGGATTATCAGCTGAACCTAGCTGCGGTTTTTTCCCCCCCATAAAATTTCATTTCTGCTTGAAAGAATAACTAATAGGTAAAAATTATCAGAGTTAGGAATCTGGCAGACATTTTCTTAAAAATGAACAATGTAAGCCTAAAACTTCATGGAAAACAACCAACAGTATTTGTTGTCAACAGTAAAATATGAGCTTTCAGCTGAAAAGCAGCACTGTAGAAAACTGGTGCCTGCACGGTGAGCTTGAGAGCTTCCCAAGTTATTTTCATATTATGTCCGACTATGAGCTCTACACACAGACCTGTAGAAATGGTTTGACTTGAGCAGCTCCACAGCTTCATACACTTTGTGGATAGAAAGTAAGTGAGAGGCAGCCTTGACATACTGATCCTGAAAACACAACTGTTTGGCAAAAGCTTCCACGGCCCACAGCCACACATGGTAGCCAGCTAAAAAACAAACAACAACAACAACAAACGAAAGATGGTGGTTTAAGGAAAAAAAAATAAGCAGGTATACTTGAATGGGGAAATGCCTTCTGCAGTAAGAACAATTAGACACTAACTTCAATAGTCATTAAGATCATGTGCCTTCCTCCAGTTTCAAACAGAATGTTTGAGCATGTCGTACAAAATGCACAAAATTCAAAAGGTGCAATGGTCATGAAAGTCAGAATACTTCATGATTCCTTTTACTGGGGTTAAGGAAGACAAGTGAGAGAAAATAGCATGAAGAGTGCCAGTAACGTGCTGGTTTTGAGGGTATATTCAATTTGTGAAATTCAGCGTACACTCATAATCTGTTAACAGATCTGCTCCACTCTTCTTGCCAGAGCGTGAGTGAGTGAAAAACCAACCCATGAACCCTGTCTAAAATAACAAGATGTTGAGCATCGCATAAAAGAAAGGTTTTCACATTATCCTAGTACACACTCCTCACACCCCACACCCAAATCCTTCCCATGGAAGCAATCATTGTAATTTTCTTTCAAAGCCTCTGCAAATATACAACCACACATACATCATAAATAACAGTATCATACACTCTGTTGTACATCCACATCTTGAGTTTCTCCCCCCACTGTAATTTATTGTTCCATTTTATATTAGATTGCGCAGAACAACCACTTTCTTTTGGTACAATTTAACCAGACGCTTATTGAGGAGCTGGTTCTTAAAATCTGTTACTATTATATTTGTCATTCTGCAGACAGATAAATGGAGTCAAAGGGCACATACATTTTAAATTTCACTAGAAATGGAAAAACTGTGACTGATTACAATCCTGTCATCAAAGTGTGTCAATGATCTGCATTTTTTAGGGAAGAGGAGGTGGAATGGGGTTGACTTACTAATTATGTTAATGCTGCCGAACTAAATAAATGAGTGCTGCATTTTATTTATGTCTGTAAAGAACTTTCAGTTCAAGGTTAGTATTGCTAATTGGATACAGCCCAGGAAAGACAGTTTTTGTTGTAAAGAACATACCCACTGGTGCCATAGCCACAAGATTGTCCGTCAATTCCCCTCTTTCTGCTGCAGTCTGGAGAATACCTTTTAGATCCCCTTTCCAAAGCATGAGCTGGTGAAACAACTCAGGGTGGCCATTTTCTAAGTGACCTTTTCCTGTTTGGAGGAGAGAGAATATCTGGAAGATATTTCAAAAAAATCTCACACATGAGTAAGAGGAATGGGCCCCAGAATATGCACTCATTGTTGAACAAGTCACCGACCACAGTGACTATGAAGGGGACTAAAGCTGCTCAGTCGTCCACCAACCAGCACTCATTCACTCTATTATAACTCTATTATAACACTATGCTTTGGCAGCCATCAAAGAGCTATGCACAATGAGCTGGGAGTTGTTGCTGAATTGAATCTAATTCATGGTGACCCACATTACGGTGCTCCACAGGCTTTTTCTAAGGTGTGATCCAATCAAAAGCCGATCACTGGATTGTTCTTCAGCAGTACCTCTATGTGGGTCCAGATCATGAAACAGTCAAGTTCAAACTACTTGTACTGCCAAGGCACTCCTACATAAAGTGTTAAGGGGGTATAAAGATAGAAGGGGTTAATTTTGACTGGATTTGACTCACCTTCAACCTCAATCATTTTGTACAGAGTAGTCCTATCTGTGAAGAGCCCGAGGTGAAATCTGTCCTTAAGGTCAGCAAAAACATCTTCATTTAGCTCTGTTCATTCCAAAAGACAAAAACAAACAAACAAAAAAAAAGAAAGAATTAGAGTTTTCTGTCCAATTACTTTCTATATTATCTTCAGAACATCCATTTCTGATACTTAGGAGAAAAGAGCCCTATGCTCTGGTTTACTTAACAGAGACCCCTGGTGGCAGCAGAATTTTAAGACAGCAAGAGGTGCAGCTTTGGTCAAATTCAATGAGGCAATAGGGCTTGTAGTTTCTTTGCTCAAGCAAAGATTTAGAGGAAAAACTGAATTTTAAAAGCCAACTCAAAATGAAACACGCATTTAAAAGTGTTAACAAAACTCAGACAAAACAAAAACCCTGCTAAGAAATATCCTAAGAAATGCTCATTAAAACCTATCAGGAATTTGAATATCTTTTTTAATGTTCAGAAAAACCAGCTAATTTTCCAATAATGGGAATAAATGTACGTGGCTAACTGTACAACTTAAAATTACCACAAAGTTAAAAAAGAGGATGGTGTACATAAAAGCATAACAGAGCTCAGGACAAAGACTAGAAACTGGTAACAATGTGGGCTCTGGAGAGAAGCAGAGGTGTGGATGTCAGAGTGATAAAAAGAGGCACTTATCTCTCACCAATCTTTCTACAGTGCTTCAATTTCATTTTGTCTATTTCCTCCCCAAACATGTAAGTAGCTTTGAGAAAAAAGGGTGATTATAAGCATTTTTCTTCTGTGGAGCAACAGATGGATTTGAACTGTGGATCGATCTTTCAATTAGCAGTTCAACATGTTATGCACTACTGCCACCAGGACTTCTTATTTTTTTAAATATTTTTGTGTAAAATTTTTTTTTGTGTGTGTGTGTACGTACCATCCAACTGGATCTGACTGGTACAGGAGGAGATTGCTCCTCTTTCTCCAGCAGAGCATCTGGCAGATTTGAACCATGTACCTCTGGGGTTGCAGTGCAGCTTCTTGCCACTTGGCTATCATTAACAGCAAAATCTCACTTACTCGTAACTGACCCTCCAACAAGATTTCAGAAGTTGTAAACTGCACAGGAGGAGAACGCCTATGATTCACACATGAAGCAGCTGGTAGATGTGAACCACCAGACAGGAGCTACCTTTGTGTTAGCAGTACAACTCCCTACGGACAATGCCACCAAGGTCCTAATATAAAAATGAGCATGTTAACAAGGGCTGTGAAAAACAAACCAGAAAACTCTCCATAAACAATTATTTTTTTTTCTCTCTCTCTCTCTTCTGAACAATCCCCCCGCTTCTGAACAAATTTTTTTTTATGGATTATTGTTTCTTGGCTGCACTGTAATATTAAGAGAATATGCAAGTTCAAGCTGAAGCTGAGGAAAATTAAACCAAGTACACAGGAACCAAAATAGGACTTTGAGTCTATACCAACTGAATTTCAGAACCATCTTAGGAACAGGTTTTGAGGCTTTGAACACTAATGAGCTAAGACCAGATGAGCTGTGGGAGGATATCAAGGGTATATCATACAGGAAGAATGCAAACGGTCATTGCAAAGACAGAAGAGGAAGAGAAGACCAAAATGGATGTCAGAAGAGACTCTGAAAATTGCACGGGAGCGCAGAGAAGCCAAAGCACAAGGAAGAATTCAAGATACTGAAGAGTTGAATAGAAGATTTCAAAAGGCAGCACAGGATGACAAAGTAAAATATTACAATGAAATGTGCAAGAAGTTGGAGTCAGAAAATCAAAAGGGCCGAACTCGCTCAGCATTTAAGCTCAAGGAACTGAAGAACAGATTCAAACCTCGAGTTGCTATAATCAAGGATGTTTTAAGCAGAATATTAAATGATCCAGGAAGTATTACAAGAAGATGTAAAGAATATACTGAGTCACTGTATCGAAAGGAACTGGCAGACACAGAAGAATTTAATGAAACAACATATGAGCAAGAGCCTATGGGGAGGAAGGAAGAAGTTCAGGCTGCGTTGAAGGAAATGGCAAAAAATAAGACCCAGGAATAGATGGTATACCAAATGACATATTTCAGCTAACATGCAGCCCTGGATGTGCCCACCAAGTTGTGCCAAGAAATCTGGAGAACAACCACTTGGCCAACAGACTGGAAGAGCTCTATATTTGTTCCCATCCCAAAAAAGGGTGACCCAACAGAGTGTGGAAACTATAACAGTATCATTGATTTCACATGCAAGCAAGATTCTACTGAAGATCATCCAAAAACGACTGGAACAGCACATCAGCAGAGAACTGCTAGAAGTCCAGGCTGGGTTTAGAAGGGGTCGTGGTACTAGGGATATTGTAGCGAATGTTAGGTGGATCTTGGCTGAAAGCAGGGAATACCAGAGGAATGTATATCTGTGTTTCATTGAGTATGCAAAGGTGTTTGACTGCGTGGATCGTAACAAACTATGGCTGACTCTGAGAAGAATGGGAATCCCAGAACACTTGATTGTTCTAATGAGAAACCTACACTTGGACCAAGAGGCAGTTGTCAGAACAGAGCAAGGAAACACTGCATGGTTCGAAATTGGGAAGGGTGTACGCTAGGGATGTGTCCAGTCTCCATACCTTTTCAACCTGTATGCAGAACAGATTATCCGGGAGGCTGGGCACTATGAGGAGAAATGTGGGGTCAAGACTGGTGAAGAGCTATCAACAATTTGCGTTATGCAGATGACACAATCCTGCTTGCTGAAACTGAGGAGGACCTGAAGTGTTTGCTGCAGAGGGTCAAGGACTACAGCCTCCAATATGGATTGAGGCTCAATGTCAAGAAGACAAAGATTCTCACCACTGGACCAACTGGCAGCATCAGAATGGATGGTGAAGAGATTGAGATTGTTCACAGCTTTAGTTTGCTTGGCTTCACAGTCAACACTCTTGCCACCAGTAGCCAGGAAATTACAAAATGTATTGCCATTGGAAAGTCTGCTGTTAGGGACCTCTCCAAAGTACTGAAGAACAATGGCGTCTCTCTGGAGACTAATGTGTGTCTGATACAGGTCATGGTCTTTGCTATCACTTGCTATGTATCAGAGAGTTGGACAATGACCAGGGAGGATAGAAGGAGAATTGATGCCTTTGAGCTGTGGTGCTGGAGAAGAGTATTGAGAATACCATGGACTGCTAGGAAAACAAACAGATTCATCCTGGAAAGGGTTAAACTGGGAGGCTCCTTGGAGACAAGGATTCTGAGGCTCCATCTAACATACTTTGGACATGCTGTAAGGAGAGACAGGTCCTTGGAGAAGGACATCATGCTTGGGAGGGTGAAGGGACAGCGCAGGAGGGGAAGGCCCTCTATGAGGTGAATTGATTCAGTGACTGGGTAATCAGGATGGGAATGTCAGAGACAGTGCGACTGACACGGGACAGAGCAGTTTAGGGCTGTTTTATATAGAGTTGCTATGAGTCACAAGCGACTCAAGGGCACATAACATTTCCAAAAAGAATAAAAAAATTTTTTTTTTCTACAGAAAGACACTGTTCAATGGAAAGAATAGTTGAAAGCACTAATTTCATGCTGATAGATTTAAGCCAACACACCAATCCTGGTATACAGATGGCTGGAGATAACTAAATCAATAACAATAAAGTACTCTCAAAACAATAAATATTACTGACAGTGGGTCTTGAACAGGGAGCTTGGAAGCACGGTACATGGTGGGAGAAAAGCATAGATGGAAAAGAAGGCAGAAACACAGTGTTGGATGTTTCCTACCCCAATTGCCCCTCCCTCATTTGAAAGAGGTGTCAAATGACAGGTGGCTCTCTCATGTACGAGTCCTCAGAGGAATACAGCTGCGTCAACAAGCCCATTTGTGTACCTTTGTGTTTTGCAGTCGCTAGTACTAGACAGTCCTGATGAAGTTCCTCTTTGGATCGGTGGTCCAAACTTGTACTCAGTGGAAGCATGGAACGAGCTTTCCTCTTCTTAATTAAGGTTTCTGAAATGGAAAAAAAACTATTGGCAGTTTGATTCAAACTGAATGTCCAGTGTATAAGTGTAATTTAGTGGATGGATATTACTGGCTATACAAAATTCCCACTCTGCTATAGGGGCTTTCAAATAAAATGAACTGAAGTACTATTCACAACACATACAGAAATACCCGTGCAACATTCACAGACCAATTCAGCCAATGAAAGACTACATTTCCCTTCAAGGACTAAACAGATTTTAAAAAGCATGAGCCCAAATAAAAACATAGTCAAAGTACCCTAAGAAATTTTAAAAAAAACCCCATAAACCCCTAAAATAGTAATTAAAACACTTCACTGGAAACAAGACAAAATGAAAATTAAGAAATTTCAGTTTTAAATTTTCAACTGCATGTAGTATCTCAGGATATTTTAGTAAAATTTTTCAATTTTAGCAACCAACCTGGTTTCTCTTTAGGTGCTTCCTTTTTTGGTAGAGTGGCTTTATTATTAATGATGACTTTTGACTTTTCAAAGCCTAAGGAAACTGGAGAATTGACCACTGGCTCTGTAGAAACTGTCATGAGGGAAAAAGAAGTATGAGAAAAGAAATGCAGAATTGTTTTCTTTCTCAAAATAAAAGCTGTACCAGTCGTAGATGAGAAAAATACTTTAGAAAGGAAGTATGGTACTCTCCTCTTTCCTACCTCACAAACTCGTGGAGTTTCAGAATTGTGAGGAACTGATTTAATAAGGGAAGGTGTAATCCAGCCTCCACAAAGTTTACAATTCCCAAATGTTGCTCAGATTAAAAAGTACTTTTGACACATTTGTGTGATAAAATACCAAGTGCATATTTAGTTAAGTAAACAAACAAACAAAGACTATACTAGTAGAAAATATCATGTGTATTTGATATGGAGTCACAATCCTCTGATGAAGTTTTGTTTTGTTTCTCGCCACAACAAAAATCCAAGCTGCTGATATACAAGGGCACAGCATTTTGTGGAACCATTTTGTAATAAAAATGTATTTTAATCAATTGAAGATAAATCCATTAAACTTCTAGCTCTTAATTTAGTCATACAATGAATGTAACAGATACTTCTTAGGATAAAAGAAACCAGAGATGCCTCAGTATTCTGGCCATCTAAATTCTGTTACATCAATATATTATTTTTAAAGTTAAACATGAGTCATGACTTCTGTTAATACTGCTTGCTATTTAATCATTCATTTTTTACAGGTATTGATAATGAGGATTTTAAGGTAAACATGTAAAGCAATAATGAAAATGCTAATATTTCAGCCTACTAATTTCTTCTCTTCAAACTGCAAATAGGTTGCTTTACTGGAAATTACAGTGAGAAAACAGAAAAGTATGTTTTGTGAGAAATCAAAGAACTAAGTTAACAGCAGGAATCACCACTCATAAATTTTTTCTAAGAGGATGAGGAGATAGTAAGTCTGAAACATGCTATAGATAGGAGAAGTGAAAACTTGAAAGTTCCCATAGTGATAGCTTTCAGCCACTTTTAAGTCAAATAATAGGAACAAACTTTTACTGAAAAGACAAGAAATATTACCTAAAAAAACAGAGACAGAAGGAAAAGTCCTAGGGCCAGTGGCATGGTTGATTAATGTCACATTATGAAAATCTTTTTAAGTTTCTGTATGTATATTATCTTGAGTTTGCTTTGTCACATAGTCTTATTCTGCCCGGAGTTTTCTCTAGAGAACTTCTTTCCATCCTATCATCCACTTCTGTGAGGTGTCAATGAGTTGATGTGGACTCATGGTGACCCTACCAACAAGATGATACAACACTGTCCAGTACTGTACCATCCTCAGATCTTTACACCTGAGTCCACTGCTGTAGCCACTGTGGGGATCCATCCACTAGATCCCCTTGAAGAGGTAGAAAGCATTTATTTTAGGGACTTAAAGCTTTAGAAAACAAAATGCAAGAACAAGACCGACTTTTAGTAAGGGGAGGAAAAAAACACCCCAAAGTCCAAAGTCAAAGATTTGTCTAATAGGCAGGTTTCAGGCACAAAAATTTCAAAATGAGGGGAGCTCTGGGCCTAGTGGCAAGAAGCTGCACTGCAATCCCAGAGGTATGCAGTCTGAATCCACCAGATGCTTGGATGGAGGAGGGGTAATCTCTTCCTGCACCAGTCAAACCTGATTTGATGTTACACATACAAAAAATAATAAAAAGTTTCAAAATGAACAAGAATCCAGCTGTGTTTCCTTGACATGATAGAGGAAGTGTGGAGGGCACACACAAGCTCCTGTCACATACCGGCTGCAGCGAGGCTGCAGGACCCCTCTGGCTCCAGGGCTTCCTCCTCCCCGTCCTGGTCGGACACTCCGTTCTCGACAGGCCCCGAGTTCTCCTTGAGGCTCTCTTCCTCATTCCCATCACAGGACTCCTGCTTCAAAAGCACTCTTGTGGTAGGCTTTTTCTTTTTTTTGAGTTTTGGTTTAGGCTGAGAGAGCCTTTTTTTTTCTAGTTCAATACTTTTTTTCCCTGTGAGAATAATACATAAATTTCAAAAGGACTAATATTTCTTTTTGTTTAAAAGTATTTTAGGATATTATTTCCAATACTGCATTACTCTGCTTTATGATAACATTCTTACTCTTCCTTTTCTTTGCCAATACATTTCAGTTACAGTACTCAAAGGTTGAACTTAACCAATCCAACTATTGGGATTTCATAAAGTCATCAACAAAATGCCACAGCTCCCAAGCTCGAGGCTGTTTTCTGAGGTGTTGAGTGTAAACCTGGTAATGTGAAAGACTATACTCTGTGAGATCTGAACTTGTTCTGGTAGTTAGGAACAGAAAGAGAAGTTCCTCAGTAAGGAAGAGCTCTTGCTTCTTCCTGTTCATTTACGTTAATATGGACTCTTGGGATTCCTATTTTAGTTTATGATCTGTCGTTGTTGGTTACCTTCGATCCTGACCCTATGTATAAAGAACGAAATCCTGTTGAGTTCTGTACCATCTTTACAATCAATGTTGTGTTCAAGCCCAGGATTTTCCTTTTGCTCTGACCTTCAACCTTACCAAGCATGAGATACTTTTCCAGGGACTGGTCCCTCTTCATAACATGCCTACTAAAGTACACAAGACAGAGTCTCACCATTTTTGCTTCTAGGGAATATGCTAGCTGTACTATGGTTTTATTTAATTCTTCAACACCACTATAATTCAAAGGCAACAATTCTTCTCTGGTCTTATTTATTGCCCAGTTTTTGCATGCACATGAGACAACTGAAAACAGTATGGCTTTGGTAGGTGCACGCTAATCCTTAAAGTGGCATTTTTATTTTCTAACACTTTTTTTTAATTATTAAATTTTATTAGTTTTAATGAACATTTACAGGGATTTTGGGTTTTCATTCCTCTACTGCTGCACCATTTTCTCTACCCTCCTCCCCAGTTTGTTCTTCTTCCCCCACCATCCGAATGTCTGTTTTAATTGTCCAACTGCCACAGTGCTTGTCAAAGTCAGTTCTGATTAATCTCCTTTGTCAGTGTGTCCTTTGCCATTCCCTATCACTCCTCCCTGAGAGAGACTTCACCCTGATTCATAAGGAAAAGGGGATGGCATATTCTCTTAGCTACTTCCTGCTGAAAAGGGACGCTGTGGGTTTCAGGGTGATATTTTCTAACACTTTATAAAGGTCTTCTGCCACAGATATGTCTAAGCTGTGTCTGCTGCTTCCATGGGAGTCACAACTCATTACTACTACTTATTTTTCAGTTTAAAATATTTTTATCTTCTGCTTATTTATATATAAAATTTATTAAGGCAAAATTTAACACATCTATGTCAGACACATTGATAAATGTTAAAAGATATAGTTGTATAAACACCATCATCACAGACAAGATGGAGATATTTTTAACACTTTGAAAAGTTCCCTCATGTCTCTCTGAATAGAATGTGTCAGACCCTGCTCACAGTTAATCAAGTCTCAGGCTGTCCCTTGTTTGCTGTCACTATAGTGTAGCTTTGCCTGTTCTGTGCTGCTGAGTTGGAATCGACTCATAGCTGACCCTCCAGCAGGTTTTCAGAGGCTGTACACTATATGGGAAGAGACTGTACATCTTTTCCTGACCAAGCAGTTGATAGATCAAACATCTGCTTTTGTGTTAGCAGCACCGTCCTTACAACTAAGCACCAGAGCATCCCGGTCTGTTCTAGAGTTTTACACGGAATGAAAGTGTATGTAGTCCTTCTGTATTGGCTTTCTTTATGCTGTATGGTGTTTTATCATTTTTTTTCTCCCAAGAGCCAATAATTACTTTCTTTTTACTGTTGAGTATAATTCCACCATATGTATATTTCACAATTTACTGACTGACTTGTGGACAGACATTTGGGTTATTTCCAGTTTTTGGCAACTGCAGGTGAAGCTGTTATGAATATCCTGTACAAGTCTTTATCATTTCACTTTGGGGCAATTCATTGTAGCACAATTCCTAGTTGAAGACATTGATTAGTTTTCTAGTGAATTGAGCGGAGAAGACTTTCCAGTTTATCTTTCATTGCTAGAAACAGAATTGAGATTTTGGTCCCCGGCCCCATCTTCAGGTACTACATTGCTCCCCCCGACCCGGCTCTCGCCCCCCCCCCCCCCCCCCTCCCCGATTTTGTCAGTAGGAGCCTGTGTATACTGACATTTTCCTTTTGTTGAGTGTTATATATACCTTTTGGTCCCTTTCCAGCTATCTCTTTTTCTTGAGCCCTAAACTTGAGTCAGACCACCACTGCTGCTCTGAATAAATACCTGGCTGACCCTGACCAACTCAGTTATTAAGAAAGAGAAAAAGGGAACTAGGCAAGCATTTTACCATTTCCGGGTTCTGACTGACCTTGAGGAGGCCGACAATGATCCTGACTGGAAGTGAGCCATCTGTATACACAGAAATCATCGGCACCTGAATAAACGCATTCTGGATCCAGTGGGGACCACACTACACAGAGTAGGCGCCCTCGATGTCCTCGGAAATTACAGAGAGGCTCTTCTTGTAGAGCATCCCACACCTAAAACCAAAGGTCACGTGGTACAACAGAAAAATACTGATTATTCTCTTCTTGTATAGGTTTTCAGTATTTTTATTATTATTTGCCTACATAAGGTTAATTATCTCTTAGTAACTCAATTTCAGATTGTGCTATTTCCTAAGAGAGGCTTACATGCTCAAGGATATAGGGGAATTTCTACAGGGAGGTTTAATGACAATTTTTCAAATTAGTGTCCCATGGATTTCAACATTCCAAGCTGATATTTGTAGGGTAACTTTTGGGCTGGGAGTCCTGCTCCCAACAGAATGCTAACTCGGGCTCTACATCTTTATGCTTACAGTCCTATTTTCTCAAAGATGATTCTTTTGCCCCTAAGTTCCTGGACAAATAAACAACTTCCTTGATATTTTCTGAATTATTATACTTATTTCACAAAAGCAATAAGACTTTGTGCAGAAATCTCAACTACAACCCACAAAGACATCCTTCCTGACATTTAGAGTCCCAGCTCTCAATGTATTTTTTGGTTCCACCTCACAGCTCTGCCTTGGCACTTATTTAATCTTTATTTTTTTTAAACTTGGAGCTTTCTGATTTATCAACAAAAATATTGTTGTTATTTATTAGTTTCCACATCAGTATACCAAACATACTGACAACGAATAAAAAGGAAACTTTGTTGTTGTTGTTGTTATGTGCCATCGAGTCGCCTGCGACTCATAGCGACCCTATGTACAACAGCCCTAAACTCTACTCTGTCCTGTGCCAATCGCACTGTCTCTGACACTCCCATCCCAATTATCCCAGTCACTGAATCAATCCACCTCATAGAGGGCCTTCC